AGCGAGACGGCCAGACGCGTCACCGATTATTCCGCTCTTGCCTCTTGTCGCGCACTGAACCGAGCGGTCCGGTCCGAGCCCACGAACGAGGGCGAAAACTATTCCTTCGTTCATTTGGGTTTGAAATGGAGCTTTTGTGACAGCGGTGCTGCAACTTTTTGGGGTCGACGCGCGCGTGTCGTTGAGCGGTGGGCTTTCGCCGCCGAAAAACGCCCGCCTTCATCGGCTCCGCCGAGGAGGGAAGGACGAACGCGTTGGGCTCGCATTGATTTGCGCGCGCGCGCAGGGGGGTCGAGAGAGGGACCGAGGAGGCAGCCCGCAACATAAAATAAAAGCGAGGGGGTGGGGGTGGGGGGCGAGCGGGGAGAGGAAGCACGACTCGCCTTATCGCGTCACTCCGGGTCGAGGCGAGAAGCAGGAAGCAAGCCTTTCCTCTCGGATTGTCGCCCCAGGAACAAGCGGGCAATTTAGTCCGCGCTCAATGCGCCCCTCGGCCCAGAAGACGCGAAAGGCGGCCAGAAGGAAAGATGCCTCCTCCGATGGGGATCGCTCTCGTGCTCCTCGGCGCGCTCGCGGCTTCTTCTCCGGAGGCGCGCCGGAGCGTCGGCGCGCCGCGCGTCCAGCGGCAATTCTACGCCCCGAACCGCACCAATAATTTCGCGGTGGAGCCGGCGTCCGGCAGGGTGTACGTGGCCACCGTCAACAGCCTGTACCAGCTGGACGCCGCCCTGCGCGTGGAGGCGCACCGGAGCACGGGCCCGGTGGAGGACAACCTGTTGTGCCACGCGCCGCAGCTCCCGCAGGCTCCGTGCCAGCACCCCAAGTCGCTGACGGACAACCACAACAAGCTGCTGGAGCTCGACCGGCGGCAGGGCGTCGTGGTGGCGTGCGGCTCCGTGTACCAGGGCTTCTGCGAGCTGCGCGAGCTCGCCAACGTCTCCCGGACGGCGGTGGAGTTCCCGCCCGCCGGCGAGAAGACCGTCTTCCCCAGCATGCTCAACATCGCCGCCAACCACCCGGACGCGTCCACCGTGGGGCTGGTCCTGCGCGGCGGCGGCGGCGGCGGCGGCGACGACACCCGGCTGCTGGTGGCGGCCACCTACACCGGCGCCGGCACGCGCTTCTTCCCCAAGAACCACAGCAAGGAAGACCTGCGCTTCGAAAACACCCCGGAAATCGCCATCCGCTCCTTCGACGTCGGCGACCTGGCCAGGCTTTTCACCTACGACATCAACCCGTCCGAGGACAACGTGTTCAAGATCAAGCAGGAGGCCAAGGCCAAAAACCAGCTCCACTTTGTGCGCGCCTTCCATCACAAGACCTACTCGTACGTCGCCTTCAACAACGACGCCAAGACGGGCCACAAGGAGAGCCAGCCCAACAGCGTCCTGGCCAGGATCTGCCTGGACACCGCCGGCCAAAAGCCCAACGGGCCCGAGAGCCGCAAGCTCACCGAGTCCTACATCCAGCTGCCCCTCCAGTGCGGGCGCGACGGCGACATTTACAACCGCCTCCTGTCCGTCTACCCGGCCGACGTCCGCGCCGAGGCCTTCCTCTTCGGGGTCTTCTCCAAGGGGGACCGCAGGACGGCTCTGTGCGCCTTCAAGTTCGCCGACGTCGAGGAGGAGATCCGCCGAGGCCGCAGGAGCTGCTCCAACTCGCCCACCGGAGACGTCCAGGTGCTGGACAGCGTCATCCAGGGCTCGGGGGCCGCCTGCGTCCAGAAGTGGAACCTGGTGGTAAGCGACTCTCGCTCTCCGTCAAACTTCCTCAAATGCCGGAGAAACAAAAGCCGACCCCTCGAGGGTGAAAAAGGGGGACGTCGAGTATTCGAGTCTCGTCCGTTCCAAGTGCCGAGGCAAATATTTTGGGGAATCAGACGCTGGGCCAAAAACATTCGCTCATCTGCTTCTGAACGCGAGGTTGCGTGTTGTCATCCTGCCCTAAACTATGACAGGAGTCGGCCCCATACATACATTCATGCGTAATTTTTACATTTATTTATTTTGGGCGGATTTGGAATGACATGCAGCACAAACATCATTTGCGAATTGATTTTTGTGGGGAAAAAAAAA